CGAAACAATTGATAATTTTGAAGGAAAATACTGAAGGTAAAGTTCTAACATTGTACATAGATTATAAGTAATTTTAAAAGTATAGAAGAAGGTGCACGATCTTGAAAACACTGTAATCGCGCTGGTTCTTTTTTGCTGAATGCGATCCAAGTGAATTGCGTAGTTCCACAAACAAAAGCGGTACGGGTATGATAATATTAATATTATTTCTTGGTGAGGTATGGTATGAATATTTTTCTTCGAAATATTTAGATAGTTTTGATGAAATTGCGATTAAAATTCAGGACTACGACCACAAATTCCCCACGAAATTCTCGTTTTATCTCACGAATTTTGGCAACGTCCAACGGCTCATAAGACGTTCTTTCGCAATTCAGAGTTCGGACTGACGGGATTTGAGTGTTGACTTCAAATATTTTTTCTGCCCATTAATTTTTCTGGTTATCGATGAGAAGTATTCTCCAGCTGACTCCGCTCTCCCTAGATCAGGGTGTCTACAGGTCCGGAAAACCCGGAGATTACTCTTTTTTTATGGAGGCTCTAGTGGCGTAGCGTGCTTTGCGATATATCGATTGTTATGCCATTTAAACCTATGGAAAATGATCGATGAACAGGGTGTTCGCTACGAACACCTTAATGATCGATTCTTTACCATAGGTTTAAATGACAGAACAATCGATACATCGCAATTCACGCCACGCCACCGCGTGGCTCGGAAGCACTCGTAATGCGTGGTTTTTAATGACAGCCTGGAAAGTATGCAATCTCTTGCGCACTAATTCTTTGTCTTGCATCAACGCATGTTTTACTTTCCTTCTCAAGCGTTAAAGTCTCCTAGTGATTCTGTCGTGCTAAGAGAACGCCGTGTGAGCATTCGAAACTTGCCAAATTTCCTCCAGTAAAATGTTCATTTTTGAGAAAAGTTATAAACATCTTTCCTTGAAATTTTCAGGAGCCTTAGGTGAAATTGCAATCAACATAATCTGAAAAATTGGGAGAAAAATATTTACCAGGAAATTCGTGTTTTATAAATGAAAATTTGAACTAAATTGAAAATTACCGAGAGAACTGAACACGAGGACACTTTTGGTTCATAGATTGATTAATTACTGAAAGAGATACGACAAAATGATTTAATCCGCTGGAATACATGTTTTGAAATAGGAAATCAAGTTCAGCGAATATTGTATAACACAATGTCTAAAAGGTAGTAGCACTGAATATATTGGTGTGTAGGGTATAGCCAAGTGCTGGAGAAAATGTAACAATTTTATAAAAAAAAAAAGACCCTTACATTTTATTAATAAACTTTGACCGAAACTTTTCGAAGCAAGCGCTTCATCGTCAGGGTCACAACACAAAGTATATGTCGCAGGCAAATAGTAAAATCAGGCATTTTGTCAAATGCCTAGGCAAATAATCAAATAAATTAACCTAGATTGAAATTTTGATTCTTTGTGATTGCTTCTGGAAGAAAAAATTATCAGTAAAAATTTGCGTCACACAATAGTATTTTAAATGATTTTTAGCTCCTGAGCGGACACTTATCTGGAAATTTGCAGCATGTCATAAAAAACAGAAATTTTAGAATTTCAACGTTTAAAAATATGAGAAGCTATCGGAGAGGCATAGACAAAAAGAGTTCGTAGGTTTGATAGGTTATTTTTTCCTAAAATATTGAAAACTCGTGAGATCTCCGCCATAAATTCACAAAATTTTGTAGACCTTCAAAATTTAACTAACTGCCTAGGCATTTGATAAAATGCCTGATTTTACTATTTGCCTGCGACATATATATCGCGAGCAAATAGTAAAATCAGGCATTTTGTCAAATGCCTAGGCAAATAATCAAATCAATTAACATAGATTGAAATTTTGATTATTCTCCTAATTTTAGAAAAAATATTTAATTGCTCCCGTAAGAAAAAATTATCAGTAAAAATTTGCATCACACAAAAGTATTTTAAATGATTTTTAGCTCCTGAGCAGCCACTTATCTTGAAATTTGCAGCATGTCATAAAAAACAGAATTTTTAGAATCTCATCGTTTAAAAATATGAGAAGCAATCGAAGAGGCATCGACATAAAGAGTTCGTAGGTTTAACGAGATATTTTTCCCTAAAATATTGAAAACTCGTGAGATCTCCGCCATAAATTCACAAAATTTTGTAGACCCTCAAAATTCTCTATCCAGGCATTTGATAAAATGCCTGATTTTACTATTTGCCTGCGACATGAACATCACAAAGGCCATAACCCTTGCTTGATTCGGAACCGCATTTTCCGTGCCTGGGCGACACTTGGCCGCCGCGGGCCTCAAATTTCGTACCCGGCAGCCCCCCCCCCCCCCCCCGAGTTAGCTGTCGGGCCCCCTTGAGCGTCGTCGAAATTCCACCTCCACCGGGCGTGAGCAACAAGGTCGCTGAGTGACGAATTATGAGGCTGGATCGTTTGAGTGGAAGAACCAAGATCAGTGAACTGTGTGTTTTTACAGTTGATTTGTTATGGCTCGGGAGGAGGGGGAGGAGGAGGAGAAGGAGGAGGAAGAGCAAAGACAGAGCCACCGCTGATCGGATGCCGCTTTGGGCAGTTACGCAATTTTAGAAAGGTCCTCCGATCAGGACCAACTTTGACCGAACTGGTGCTGGACGAATACAATTCGAGTAAACGGTAGAAAAATGAAGATATTCCTTCAAAGTTCGAAGTAACCAAATTACAGTAAACTAGAGTTTTGAACAATCCGACGGTGAAACCCCCTATTCTTGTTTCTCGTTTGAGTTTTTTTAAAAATCTTCATTTTTTTTTTTTTTCTTTTTTTTGAGAGAGAGAGAGAGAGAATAACAAATCAAACTCATTCCTATAAGTTTTTGCAGAATTTTCCTCGAACAGAGGAAAAATCAAGAAATTTTCAAGATTTGATGTTGACAAATTTTCCATTGGATAAATAAGTACACAAACTGTTTGCAGTGGACGCACGGGTCGTAAGACGGTATACTTAATGGAGTTTTTTAGCCAACGTGCGTTAAAAATCAGTATAAAGCTGAAAATCTCAATACAGAGGGAAAAAGCTCACAGCGCAAACAGCGTATCTATTTGAGGGAAAATTGTGCTTGTGTGTGAACTTTTTCCTTCTGTATTGAGATTTTCAGCTTTATGCTGATTTTAACGCACGTTGGATAAATAACTACAACATATACAGTCAAAAAACAAGCCCCACAAGAATGTTGCAGCATTGCAAACCGAGATAAGTGATTTGGAAGTTTTACTGTCAAATTACTCAATCTGGAGAGAGGCTACAAGAAAAGACGGAAATTGAGAAGACAGAAAAGGAGCAGTGGCAGGGGGAAAAAACACATCTGGTTTCGCGTCAAAATCGAGACAGATAGTCGACTTCTTTTTCCGAGATCAAACTTTAGAGTTATTTGAAGTTTTTGAAGTTGAAGTATATCAGCTACATTTCAACATGTAAATGATCTGAATAAACAATCTTAGACTTTGGAAAATCAAACTTAAATGGTGGATAAATTCGGCAACGTCGAAAAGAGGAGCACGCCGCGCCGTGTGGCGACGCGACGCGCCGACGAATTCAGATCGGGAACCAGTTATTGTAAGTACTTACCTACCCTGGATCTGCGAGCCGTTTTGCCACTTTTCGGGGAATCATCATGACTGAGGCAACATTAAAAAACGAATTTCCTCGCGAAATACGTCTCCCCAGTCCTCGAAGCCTACCTATGTCAATCCAAGCCGTCGTCGCGTCGCGTTGGTCCGGCAGATGCTCACGAATTTCGGCGTTCGAGCCACTCCACTGCCAATGCATTCTAGGTGAGAGGTTTTTTCGAGGATGTTCCCAAAATATTGCCATTCTTGTCAAAATATTGCGGTAGATTTTCCTTACAAAAAATGATTTGGGAAAAAAAACTGGAGTAAAAGAAGAGAGGAAAAAAACTTGGAGGAATTGTTTCAAACATGATTTTAAATTATTTTTGAATACTTTTGCTGAAACCATCGTAAAAGATTCTAAAAACAATCCATCGTTTCTCTGATTTAATGTTCTCTTCCAATCTTGCTCTTCCCTTGCTTTTTCATTTTTGCGCCTTCGGAATGCAATACGGCGCCTGAGGTGGAGTGGTGTAGTGGAGCGAGTCAATCAGAGAGGCCCGCGGACATGAACTTTTTGAGTAAAACTGCAAATTTTTATGTTTATTTCGTCACATTTTAAATTCAAGGGGTGGCTCCAAAAGAAAATATCACGAAAAAACCAATGGAACCACCTCAAAGTTTTGTATGAACGGTGTTAAAAGCCTTTAAAGTTTCCAAATTTTGTCCGACCTCTCCTATTGACTCGATCCATTGTGCGTCGCGCCCATCGCTCTACTCTCGCGACAGCTTTGCGAAGGCGAAACTCACAAACCACGTATCTCGGTTTGCGAAGTTTCGGACTTCTTGTCTTACGTTACTAATTTTTTACATGAAAATGCACTCAAACTAAATTCGTAGACATTTTCGTGATCTTTTTTCTCTTTGCGAAGCAAATTCTGGAATAAAACTTTAGGGAATGATGTTAGTTTTTTCTCCTGTAAAAAAATTAAACGGGAGCGGAGAATTTTATAAACACCGAAAACAAGATCTGTGGTTTAGGAGTTTCACTATCGACTGGTCTCCGGCGTGTTAGTAGATATCGCAATAGTGTATTGCCCTCGAAAAATACACTGAAAGAGAAAAGGCAACGTTATGATTTATCCATGCATGAATCCAGCAAAATCAAGTTTAAAATCGCGGGTGAAAATAGAGCACTAAGTTTCGCCAAGATTTATTGAGAATGAAGTACTTCAAAGGCAACTTGTAAAATGCTTATTATTATCCACGAGAAGTTTCGCTCGCTTGGGAAAAGAGCGTCAATTTAAAAATTCGCGCCATAAATCGTATTATGAGTGGCGGGAGTGGCGGTAGCCAAACCGTTGATTCGGCAGTGGTTGGCTGCTGAAATTCGTGACATGTGAATGAAAACAGAAGATCAAGAAAGGAACGAAAAATCTTTTGAATTTGTTAAAATTTGTGTTACTTTTTTCAGTCGCCCGAGTTCCATTAAATTTCTAAACCGTTCCGTAATTTCTATTTGAATCGGTTCCATAGATTTATTTGCCTTGATTTTATCCCCTTTCATCGATTTCGGTCATCAGTTGCTTGTGTTTTGGACTCTCACACAGAACCTGATTATTGATCTGCTGCAGCATGTCCATCTTCATGGGTGATATGGTCTTACTTATGAACAATATTCTTTTCTCTTTCACATTTTAAGTTGAAGATGAACTGGTCAGTTGTAGACTGAGAATTACTTCCTAAGTTAGTTAGTTTTCAGGCAGGATCCTGCTTTCAAACTTTTCCATAATGGCCAAGCGCTGGCCCCTTGTTTACTTGGGCTTTGAAGATGAAGCAATCTCCGATAAACATCGACCTTTCTTATCTTATACCACGAATAAAATTGGTGGGAAACCTGTGAGTATGAAAATTTATTTTCTAACTATACTTTTTTTCATGCCTGGGATTGCATTGATGCACTCAGATCTGTCTAATCAGAATCAAACATCCTTCAGTGCAAGGATTCCTCTGTTCATGTTTCTCTTTATGAAGGAATTTGAATGCTCTGTCCTGAATTTTCTTGCTCAGTTTAGGAAATCTTGAAGCCCAATCCACACTATCAACTTTTTCATTCAACTCTTGAATGCAACTTGTCGCAATGAAAAGTTGGATAGTGTGATACTGATGCTAGAAAACGGCAATTTGATGAAAGATTGAAACGACATTTGAATAAAACTAATACTATATTAACACAACATATATTATTAGTCATATTCAACTTTTTGTCTAATTGGTACTGCCAACTGGATGAAAAGTTGGACAGAGAATAGTTGAATCAAATTTTTTTGAATTCAACCTTTCGTTCCATTAAGTCAGATGAAAAGTTTGATTGTGTGAATTGGGCTTTATACCAGGTTTTTACCTGTAAATATATTCTGCAATTAAGACAATTAGTAGGACCATAAGCACATATGCTGTATTGGAATTTATAATCTGCTATTAAAGCAATGAAGTTGTCATTGATCAGAATGGGTTTCTTTCTTTCTGATAGGAGAATGCCACTCCAGTCAATCGGGAAATTTTCTCTCAAATTTTCCAGGTAGCTCTATTTAATTCAGGACACGTTTAATCTGTAGGTATCACTAAATTAACCTGTCGCAATCATTTGGTGTTAGAAATTATTCTTTGAACTCAAAAGTATTTAACATTTTCCTGCAATCTGAAGGAATTCTTAAATTTCATTTTGCTAAGTAGATATATAGTTTTATTCTCATAGGTATCATCAATCCAATCAGATACATTTATTTGTAAAGCATAACATTTGCAACAATATTTTGATGTTTCAGGACTGGCACGTCAAGGGCAGTGAAGTTCCAAGTTGTCAGTTATGTTCGTTTCCTCTTCTGCTGGTAGTTCAAATCTATGCCCCCCTACCGAAGTCGCCAAATCACAGGACCTTATATCTGTTTGCATGCATTAATCCTAATTGTTGGAACCAAAATGGAAGGTAAGGTTTACTGAAGATATGCACTCTTTTCCTTTCCAGCTTTTCCCTATGTTTTGAAAGTACAAGGAGACCAGGGTCTTATTGACACCACATCTATCTTTTTTCAGCAACAGCACCAACTGGTGCAATGTCAGGTTATTAACGAATCCTCAGTTTCTGCTTGTTTCTGAGCCATGTAATAAAGAGTTTTTTCGAAAGCATTTTCATTATTTATAGTTCAGCTTGAAGATTAATATCTCTGTCAATAATAAAATTACAGAATGAACCAAGCTTACACCATGAATTATTACTGTTTCTCTTACACACTTATTAGCATGAAACAAATCTGTTATTTAGGCAGGTCTATTCTTAATACTGCATGCAAACTGTTCAAAATTTTGACCTCGTATGGTTTTTTTTGCAGGAAGTTGTGTGAAATATATCGATGGTGTAAGTCGGCAATCACATAACTCTGTCTGCGACGTCGCAGACTTCCTGTCATACTTTATCTTTTAATTGGAAAACTACTCAACGGCGATTCTTTAAAACTGCCGTGATTTTTCTTCTCTGTATGGAGAAAATTCCGCAAAAACTTCACGGAATGATGTCAATTTGTTCTCCTTTGAAAAAATAACATAGAGGCGGAGATTTTCAGACACTGCAAACGAGATTTAAGATTGCGGACTTACGCCGTCGATATGTAAATAATCTGATCCTAAATTCCTGACCAAAAAAATATGCCAATACAGGATTCTTTATAATTGAAAAGTTTTTCAATAGTAGGTAGTTTAAGTTGTAGTAGTAGGTAAGTCTAAGAGGATTAAAACTTTGCAAAATATGTTTTATTGTTTTAATGAGTTTAAATGTTTTTACTTGACCAGGAACAAGTCAAAATTATGCATCTTTTGGAACCTATACTTACATCAAAAATAATGATGTCAATGAAAAATTCAAACCCTTAAATAGCTTGCCCTCTATTCTTTCAGCTGGGTTTGCGTCCGCAGTGAATCTACTGACTCAACATCGGAGACCAAAACAAACACCACTGTAATCAGCACAGATGACTGGTGTGGTGGTGCGGATAATTGGGGTGAGGATGAACAGAACGGCAATCTGACTTACAACTCATCACCAGATGAAGACTCCATCACTAATGATTTCACTGATCTTTCTCTACAAGGGAGAAACAGCACAGGCGGTGAGCTATCTGAGGCAATGGGAGGAGGTGCAGCAGGAGCAGAAGCTGAGGGCCGACTCATGTCTCCGATTGCCAGCGCAGAGATAGAAGTGGAAGGCGAAGAGAGAGAGATGGTAACCATCGATACACCAACAGCTCCTGAAGTCAATATTGTTGCTTTATTGGAGCAGGCACCAGCTGTTCCTGAAGTAAGTGTTTATCTCAGTGTGTTATTATGCATTTATTTCCTATTATACACTTCTAGAAAATCTGGAAATTGAAAGAAAAATTATAGTCTTAGAGGTAATGAGGGAAAACCTGCAGAGCTAGAAGCAAAATCATAGATTCAAAGAATTTTGTCTATCAATGGCTTACAATCTGTTAGCATGAAGCAAAAAATTTGACTAATAGTTGTAAATATAGTAAAATTTGAGGGAATTTATCTTTGACGCAATATAGTTACCCTTCAATCAATTAAATTGATTTAATATGCAATCCATTGCGTAAAAGCTAACTTTCGAGATCGTTAGTTTGTTTTTCAGTTGTTCATGCTTTTTTTCCCATCGAGAGAAAATGCTGGAGGAATCAATAGCATAATCAGAGAATTCAAAACTATAAAGAAAATACCTAAAGAAAGAAAAAAGAAAATAATCTATGTGTATAAATCCTAAGGTATGCAGGGATGGCTGACCTCAGAAAACATTTACAAAAAAATCACAATTAAATATCAGCAACCTTATCATCCATGATACATCAAAAATTCACTCATAAAATGGGTTTAATCCTAATAAGTTTGATCCTATTTTTTCCAGGTCAAAGCTGAGCTGCTACAGTTTGTGCCAATCTTCATTAGTGTCATGGAAGAAGAAACGACCTATTCTGGCCTAGAACATGTAAATGATTTATTGCAGGTCTACCAACAAAATAATCCTGGCGAGCTTGATAACTTCAATACAAATCAGAATCCCTTCCAAAAGAAAGACCGTTCCACGAATCCCACCAACGTGGAAAAGTACGAACCGAGCACTCCCAGTCACGGTGACAAAATGTTCCATCAATTTGTCACCAAAATCCAACAGAATCCAGGCCAAATTTTAAGGTTAGTTCTTATTGAAATAAAAACTGATCACTGATGCCTGGGAGATAGGACCTTGCCTTAGGATTACTCCTAGGACTTCCGCTGTTTTTGGGGGTCATTCCACATCCTGCAAACCTTTCAGTGGAGCTATAGTTTTTACAGCTTGCCGTATTACCTCGCCATGGAGTACACAGAATATATGTTTGTCATACAACACTGGAGATAGCTACAATTCAATGGTGAAACTACAAAAATGCGTATTTTGGTTGCAGTGTTTCAAAGTCTCCGCTCCTATTTAATTTTTTATATGGAGACTGAACTAACATCATAGCTTGAAATTTTCACAGAATATTCCTCGGATCGAGAAGATTCATCATCAGAGGTTTCAAGAAAAAACGTTCAGTAGTTATCCATGGAAAAAGCAAAGTATGACAGCTGCAACGCCACAAATTCAGATATGCATCTCTGTAGTTTCACCATTGATAGTATATTGTGTCCCAAAACACAATAAATTCTGCCTATGGTTGGAAAAATCCCATAGAGGATGAAAAATTTCCATACCAGGCCTGCTTTGTCTGACAAAATTGTGTTTTCGTGGTGCTTGGTAGGGCTCATCTTGTAGATATGGCAAACTGAAGTCCCAATGAAGTCAACAGTTGGCAAACTGATGTCGAAAAATTAGTAGTAAAGTGATTGCAATGCTTTGAAAACTTCAGGCTCAAATCTCTTATAACCCTTTTTAAAGTGTTCCAGTTCTGCACCAAAGTTGACTACTATTTAAAGGACATTTCTCTCATACCTTGGAGAAAAGTATCCTAAAACATATTTAATTTTAAAATTTAACCTGCCTCACGAATATTATTTCTTAGTCGATTTGTATAAGTTTCATTGACTTATGAAAAATAAAGCAAGGAAGAACATAGTGGTTGATTTTAGATATCGATGGTGTCAATTGGCAATCTTATAACTTGGTTTGCGACGTTGCAGACTTCCTGTCATACTTTATATTTTACACGGAAAACTACTCAACGGCAATTCTTTAAAACTGCTGTGATCTTTCTTCTCTGTGCAAAGAAAATTCTGCAAAAACTTCAAGGAATGTTGTCAATTTGTTTTCCTTTTAAAAAAATAACATAGAGGCGGAGATTTTTAGACACGGCAACAGGTTATGTGATTGCTGACTTACACCGTTGATATACTGCATGTGTTACAGGCTGATCTCAATTTAGGGGGAATTGCGATCCATCTGAGCTGATGATGTGCTTGGGCTGATTGTTATCAACCCAAACTAAATTGAGCTGATTGACAATTTATCTTTTCGGGCTCATTGTCAGCCTGATGTGTATAAAATGAAATGGAAGATATTTGGCAGAGAAAGCGCAACTGACTCCAGTCACTTATGAGTCATTATGAAGCTGAATTTTGTGATTTCTTCAAGGATAATTTGTGCTTTGAACCATTCGAACTCTTTTTTAAATTTATTCAGATCCTGCCTCATGTTAACTTTTTACCTCCATTTGAATTTAATGCCATGCATCTATGAAGGAGTTAGATTTTGTTTTAGTTTTTGTTTTTTTACCGATTGATTCCTAAGCTCTTACTGCAGTTCTGTTTTGAACAGCATAGAGTGAGTCTTAGTTGCAACTACGAGGGTTGTCCCAAAAGAAACAGGACTTTTGTCGTAGCAAGTGAACCAAGCCTTGTAATGAGGTTTTCTTGGGTTTATCTGAAAGCTGAAAAATCAATAAATATAACTTTTTTTACAGAATGTAAAAATTCATCTTGATTTGGACACTGTTTGCTTTGGAATATAGGAAAATCAAACTCGAGTTGCGATTTCTGTCTTTATTTCAAGAAAAATTTAGATACAACTTAGATAATATTCAGATTTTAAATTAAAAACTTCTTTGCTCACTTCTTCAAATGCTTAAAAATAAAAACAAGCAGTGAACTCCAACACAATGTGTTGATAAGGCGCGTCATTAACTCGCACATATCAACCCCTTTAGTTTTCATTTACAGAGATTTCAAAAAAGGCAAGCAGCACAACAAGAGAATTCACGATCCAACACTGCAAGGTCAACGACGCACCTTCACGAGACCGTGTATTGTGAATCTAGAAAGCTATTCGAACAAATTTAAGTTTTTTGATCTGCCTCAAGCAAAATCTTTTCAGATTCTTGAAGAAAAGTGCTACGGAAAAATTTAAGCGAAGAAAGGAAAAATTCTGTCGAACTCCTAGAAGATAAAGTCGATTTAAAGGTATTTTGGGGCTAAAATACCCAAATCACCGGTATTATAAATCCCGTTATATTATTGAAAAGAAATTGACTCGATATAAATGCAATTGTCTTAAATATGTCTTGATTTTGTTATTTTAAACGTCTTTTCATGCAAAGAAGCTCAACCATGTCCATGCTTTATTCATTCATGAATTGAAAGTAAGCAATCCACATCCCGAAAATCTACCGATTTGCCGTAAAAAATCGCAGAGACTTGATATACCAGGTCGATGTACCCACTCTTTGAATTTACCAATCAATTTAGTGAGTGCACGTATGTGAAAGTCAAAATGCTATAGTCATTTTGGGTGCATTCATTTTTCATGAAACAATTGTAAGTAATTTCAATCCCGAAAAACCATAAATTTTCCGTATAAAATAAAAAAAATCAAAATATGTCGACTCCCTGACGTGAAAATTAAATTCTACGTGTGAAAATACTTATGTATCGATATGCTGAACAGAATGCCCGCCTCTCCTCGTAATTTACAAACCGTTCCTATACTCATCTCAAAATTTTTCTCAGAGCTTTGTGTTATTATCAGCTTCCATTTAAACCCCGGTTTGATGGCCGAATCGGCTGCCCAAAAAGCAAGCCATTTTTGAAGGGCTCTATGAGAAATTCGTGATATTATCAGCTCTCAGGAAATCACCCCATGGGTAAAATTGCTGGTATAAATTTTCGAGTGCTTAAAATAATCGTATTCAAGAAACTAAGGCATTAAACTATGGAGTCAATTTCGTTTTAATAATATAACGGGATTTACTTGTCTTCAGGTCAAAACTCATACAAGAAAGCCCCTTGCAAGAGGCTAATTTTTTGTAATTTCACTCAATTTTTTCTCATTTTTATAATTGAATTGCTTGTCACATTCTGAGGTCAATCATATTAAATTGTAATTTATACATTTCTTTTTTTCCCCCTTCATTTTATTTTTTGTTTGGAGAAGTTTTGTTGATTTCTTCGGATTTCGAATACTGTAACTTCTCTTCTATTTGGCCGATTTTTATGAATGAGACCTCTTTTAATTCGTGTTTTAACGGAAAGTAAGGAAAAAATTGCTAAAAACTCGCGAAACAATTTTTTTTTTAAAATTGGACGAATCCTAGCGTGACGGTGAAATGGTTAATGAAGCGTAAGTAATTGGGCGAGGGGCTGAGGATCCCGGCCTCGCTTGGCGACCGTCATTAGCTATTGTTCGTCGAGACGCCGACGCAGTGATCAGGAGCGTGGGGAAGAGAGGGGTAAGTGGATTCCTGTATGAGCCACGTTTAGCTAATGGTCTAATGAGTCTCGAGGCTCATCACAGATTGCACTATCATGAGTGGCGGTAGCCACCACCGGGCAAGTAACCTATCCTCCAACAATTGGCAACACAGCACAGCCCGGTCGAGGCAACGACACCATAGTTACACGAACTTGGCTTATTTGGGTTTTTCAGAGCACGGGTACCAACTTTTGAAAAGTATAACCGAGGTTACAGATCTGTCAAAGCAACGTTTTGAACAAAACGGAGGAGTTAGATTCTCATTCCGAGAGTGCCGACCTGCTCAGCCATCCTCGAATCAATTCGCTTGATTCTGCTTATATATGCATATTTTAAATCAGCGCGTCGCATTCTTAGGCTTTTTTTAAAAAAACCAAGTAACTTAGACTCTTGGTATTCACTGCACATAAACTAGCGACCCCCAGAATGAGAAACAACTTTAAATCATAATTATTGATGGATAAATAAACTTTTTACACGCTTTGGAAAATCTCAGAAGTTCGCGGTAGTCACTTTTCGGTAAGGAACTAAGGGACTCGGTTATTGTATCGAGCAGGGTTCGAAACGATCGCAAAGGCGGTATACTACGTATACGCGCCAAAATTAACATTTCAAGCAGCTTACCGAGTCATCATCCATCCCCTTCAAAATACACCCCAGCTTTGTCGATGCATTTTTGTCCCGTTTCTTCAAGTGGGAGGAACACTTATGAAACTCCTCAGGTTTGAATGACTGCAACTCCTTCAAAGTCTTTTCCTGAATTCCCGGAATGGTTTGAAAACGTCGACCTTTCAAGGTAGATTTCAGTTGTGGAATATAAAAAAAATCACAAGGAGCAAGGTCAGGTGAATAACAGGGATAAGGGAGGACATTTTTGCATAATCGTGTTAGATCACCATTCCAATATTCGCAGTTAATAGTCTCCCCTGTCAGCAATTTAACGTTGCATTTTTGCTTGAAAAAAGACCTCATCATGAAAATCGCAACACGCAATCGACTTAGTCTGAATCACAGGATCATCAGATGAGTGTTGATCAAAATAAATCAAATTAATGAAAACAAGCCTCGTCAGTTGCTTCAGTAGCTCGAGGTTTTCTTGGGCTTTTCTGAAAGCCCAAGAAAACCTCATTACGATGCTCGGTTCGCCTGCTATGACGAAAGTCCGGTTTCTTTTGGGACAGCCCTCGTATTCGTTAAATAAGTTGAAAATTTTTGTCTAAATCAATTATTTAACTCTTACATGTATTACTTTTTTCAGATACTGTCGGGAAGGTGGCTCTCCGTTATTTTTATATCCAGTCCAGGATACCCCGAGGCAATGTCAGCACTGCAAGGGAGAATTGCTTTTTGAATTACAAGTTCTTCCAAGTTTAATACCCAAATTGAACTTACAAACTCCATCAGGAACTGAAAGCGGTCATCTAGAATTCGGATCAGTTTATATTTTTAGTTGCAAAAAAAGCTGTTGGTCATCGACCGATAAGTGGAGAAAAGAAATTGTGATTGTTCAAGCAGAACGAATTTAAAACTGTAGGTATTGTTATTTTTGATCTCACCTCTATCTCAAATTCTATCCCTCATTTCTTATTTATCAAACCTTCATGTTTTTATCTTTTACTTCAATTTAATTAATTTAAGTAAGTTATTACTGGCTGGAACCGGTAAAATCTAAAAAAAAAATGTGATAATTAATCATCTTACCATGTAGTTTATAATGTTATTTTATTTAGATTTTCTCCTGAAAGATCGTATTTTTACGTCTATCGTTTGTTATGCATTTATAATGAATTAAAATCTAGAACGTTTTTTGCTGAAGCAGCAAATATCATTATGCACCCATTGCCTACGTAATGTCAATATTGAAGTAGGGTTCTCTTTAGTATTATCGCGTTATCCACTGACTATTTCATTGCCAATTTTTACTGTGCATCATAATCTAAAGATCGCGTCTTTGAGCTCTGATGCTTTGGGAAAAGTTAGATGACAATCTATGTTGTATAGTCCTTCATCCTCCATTCAGAAGGAGATGATCGGATTTTGAGTTTCTAGCGGTTTTTGTTTTAGCGTTAATTGCCGAATACTGTTGCTTTAAGAAAATTTTTGTTCAAAATTTTATGGTTCTGTTGATGTTAGATCTTTTAAAATTAGATTTCTGATAAAGAGCAATAATACATGGTATGTTTTTCTTATCTGGAATTTTGAAGTCTTGAATTTTCCTTGAACTCCTAACTCCTCAGGTGTTTGAGAGCGCAAATTATTTATGTTTGTTCATTGGTATTAGCTCATATCATCATCACGTTTGCCCCCATCTTATCTCAGACCTGGTTGAAAACTGTACTGCAGATAGAATTCAAATCCAAGTGTTGCATCTTTGCGGCTTTTTGCAGTAATCTCATTTTTCTTTTGCTCCAATCGAGCTCAGCTTTATTAGAGAGAGTTTTTTTCCCTTTCTTTTTTTGTTGTAGTGACTGGACTTTAAATAGGTTGTCTTTGGAGAATATCTTTTACATGGTGTCAAAGTTTGAAAAGTTAGTTAATGTTACCGCACCGAGAAAAGTCAGGAAATTTTGCCATCAAACCTTGAATTTTCTTGTATCTTTGAAACTTGGAAATACCATGATGCTCTATCAGTCAAGCTCAAACTTTGCACGTTATTAAAACTTGGTATTTAAACTTTGGTAAAAACTTTTTTAAACGCCACACTCATGAAAAATCAGGAAATGTCATGTTCATAAACCTTTAAAAGACATAAATTATCAAATCTTCAGAGAACTTATCCTATATGTTATCCTATTATCCTAACTATATGTAGTACCACTATTGAAGCTGCTGTATCCAGGTCTTTAAATTTTGTGATTTTCAAAGTCATTAGGTAAGTAATTCCATGTCTAAATATTAAATGGAGTTGAGTTGCATTTTGGTTTTTCTAGCTGTAGCTAGTCTTTTGTTTTGGTTTTGTCTTCATCTTGATTTTCAATTCAAGAGCATTACTTTTAAGCTTAATATTTTCTCTTATTTTCTTGTTTTCTGTCATGACAAAAATCTCTCATCGTTCATCGAGCTGTTGGCTGTTTTTTCTTTCTAGTTTTATCAAAGGATTTTTATTTTTTGTCGTATTTTATTTTTCTACTGAGTTTGCTTGGTTTATGCATCTTCAGTTCTGTACAAATCCTTGTCATTTATTTTCCTGGGAAGATTTCAATGAGACTTGATACCGGTGAATCTATGACTTCATTAATTCATCACTTTCACGCGGTTTTCTGTAGTTCTTTGAAAATAATTTTGAAAATTAAGATGTTAATGTAATTCTTTTATTCCATTTTTAATCCATCTTCTCTTAACTATCAGTCCCTCTTGTTACAATTATTGTTCCAAGTATTTATTGGCAGAAATCCTTTCAAAGCATCAGAGTTAACAAAAAAATTTTCAGGAAATTAAAAGAACGAAGAGTACTTAATAGTTCATGGGATACAGAAAGGAAAAGGATTAGAGCTTTGTGTTTAAATTTTCTCCTTTGAATGGAAAATTCTTATATTTTTCATGTTCCTCTTGCGGCTGACAGGCAGGCAGAGACACCGGAAAACTCCTGGTTTGTTGATCGATTTTCAGGGTGATTTTGGACCGGTTTGGCTCCTTCAGAGCGAAAAAAACAACTGAATTGGGCCAGTCCTAGCTCCAATATGTATGGTCAATTTTCCGGCCCTGACCGCAGCCTGGCCCTGGAACAAAAATACCTAGTCAAAGTTGACTTGACATCAGGTAATGCAGAATAATGAAAGAACTGCACCCAGTTTTAAAATTTACCCAAGGCCACATTGACAAATTGACTACATATTGCAATTCGGGATTCACCTAATTTCTGGCGCATCAGTAAGAGCACTTATGTGTAGGGGGAAACTAATGAGACATATGCTGTCTTTAAACTGAGATAGAAATTTCAGTTCCAAATTGAAAACTTTAGTCCAAATTAAATTTATAATTTGTTGCTTTGCCAGCTGATAGGACGCTCTGAAGGGTCTGCTCTCATTATTTTTGGTCTCTTGCATAGAGTTGCTTTCTTTGGTTCAGTCCATGCATCAAATAAAATTTCATTTTATATTTTTTCTTCATCCAATTTCTCCCTGTATCATCTCCCAATATCCCTCTAATTTTATCTTGAAACTACTGTCTTCAATTGAGCAAAGACACCTATGCAACTCCAACTTGGAGCGAGAAATACAAGTAGCATTTTTTTTTCATTTCTTATGTCGTGCAATTCTTGGGAAGTTGGTGAGCTACAAAATCCAACTTTGAGAGAGAGATATCATGTTTCTCTTTACCTCCAGATCATGCAATTAGAAGGCAGGAGGTCAGTAAGCTGCGAAACTCCGATTTTGAATGAGAAATAGAATGCTCCTGAATTTCTTAGGCTATGCAATCACTGCTATCGAAAAGTCTGTGCACTACCAAAGTTTCATGACTCCTCATTTAAGTGAGGAAAATTGTAAAAAAAGAGCATTATTGATCATTGACATACTATTTTATCGCATGAAAATTCTACTTCATCTGCACGAGCATGTATACCTAACCCCTTCTGTGTCTTCCATTTCTTATCCATCTCTTTTTCAATGTGCTATTTGTCACCAATGCATCTATGGTTCTTGATTTATTTTCGTAATCCTAACCTTAATTGACACTTTCTAGCTTTATTAAAGTTTGATAGATGAATTTAAATATCGACAGCGTAAGTCGGCAATCACATATCTCGTTTGCGATGTCTGAAAATCTCCGCCTCCATGTTATGTTTTTAAAGGAGAAATAATTGACACCGTTCCTTGAAGTTTATGCAGAATTTTCTTCGCACAGAGAAGAAAATTCACGGCAATTTTAAAGAAGTAGTTTTTTAGAGTATTTCTCCGTTTAAAAAATAAAGTATGACAGGAAGTCTGCTACGTCGCAAACCGAGTTATGCGAATGCCGACTTACACCGTCCATATGTCCTCCTTGAATTGATTAAATTATAAAAAAGAATAAAAACAAGGACGCCACAAAACCATGTATCTCGATTTTGAAGTTTTGTAATGTCTGCTTTTAATTATTTTCTTTTGCAAAGGATATTACCGGACTTTTCGCAGGAAATTTTTACAGGAACCGTATCTTTTCTTAGAGCAATAATTAAATTAAGAAAAATTGAAAATAATTTTCTAAAATAATCATATTTTAGGCAGACACGATCGGTAATCTTCAAAAATAGGTGAATTAAGCATCGCTGCATGAAACTGGCAACGCTGGCTCACAGCCGCGGTGGTTGATGAATCTCCTCTTAAAATCGGCAACACAGGTTCAAAATAGGGATTAGACACCTAAGCAACGCTTCTAAGGAAGAACGCCGTATGAGCCTTCGGACGTTGCCAAATTTCCTCCGATAAAATACGAATTTTCACGGAAACTGTTGGATATTTCTCTTCTAATTTTTCAGACAATTTTGTTCACACTTTAGTCTAAAATATCTCAAAATTTCAAGGAAAACTATTCACAACTTTCCTGAAAAATGATTTTTTTATCGGGAGAAATTTGGCAACCCTCGAATGTACATACGGCGTTCTTCCTTAGCACGGCAGTAAGGCGGCCGGACAATCAATGATGTCGAGCAAACAATACGTTTTACATGTAATCAAATCTCTCACGCTCGCCTTCTCTATTCGAAAGTGTTTCTTTTGTTAAATCGCTAAGAGGCCTTCTGAAAGATAGCGCAGTTTAATTTGGCAACAGTCTGTCAGATTTCAGTCTTATCCAGTAAAAGCTATCATTTATTAATCCTCCCTCCTTTCTTCGATCTTCATTAGAGAAGGGTGAATTCCTTTGTCATTTTTTGTTTTTGTTTTTGCTTAGCTCTCCGTAATTTATTGAACGGGAGCAGGGCCAGGTTTAGAGGGTGGCCACATGGGCCGCGGCCCATGGCGGCAAATTTTGCAATTTTTTCAAATGTAGGTATCAAAAAAATACCGTTTTAAAAAAACATTGCAAACGAGAAAAGACGACAAAATCTCTCATTTCCTGAGAGTTAAAGTATAGTAATTTTAATTTTTTCGTCTTTCGGTGATGCAAGAGACAGCACCTTTCATTACTCAAGTTGAAAGAGAAACCGAACACGCAATTTGGCCTGGAGTGGTGTGGCGCAGAGAGCAATGGTGATTCGGACTTAAGATGAAAAGGAGAAATCCTCGGCGCGCCGGTCAGCATGAAACACATATTAGCGCCTACAAGACTCCACGAATACTTCACACATTGCGTCAAACGCAGTGCGGTCAGCAGCGGTTGGCGTGATACGCGTAGCGCCTACAAGACTGCATGAATACTTCACGCATTGCGTCAAACACAGAGCGGTCAGCGGTCGGCGCGGCGTGAAAAGCATAGCGCCTACCAGACTGTCGGAATACTTCACGCATTGCGCCATCAAACACAGTACGGTTGACGCGGCGGCGGAAGTTAAAATTATTGAACCACATTCATGTTTATTCTTTCATAATTTTTTCGTTCATCTCTTATAAATGAAAGGCCTTGTCCACATAGGGATAGGTTTACGGAACTTGACTTTCGCGCAAAGTTCCGTGAACTTTTGCCAGTGTTGACAGGGCTTTTACAAAAAATGTGCCCAACACGAGTACCTAAACGCTATGATGAGTAAACTTGATGATTTGCATTGATGTTTCAAAACTAATGAGAGGGGGGCGGCAAGTAGGTAAATCCGGCCCTGAACGGGAGTGTTGGTGGAATGGCCCTTTTAAATCTCAGGGAAGGTGTTGAACTGCTGACGATTAAATACGTAACGCATCGGGGGAAGAAGGCTATCCTTAGGGGATCGCGTTACGGTTTTCTGCGGACGGGTGGCAAAAGTCAAGCACATTGTACGTAACGCTTCGTTCGCCTTAATTAGAGTCCATTCGATGATAGTTGGAATTCACCCGCCTAGCAAAAAGCGGTTGCAACAACGTTAGGCAACGTTACTGCCGAAATTAACGCTTTATTGACGTTTCCGTATCGTTATTTGGACCGCGTTTCGCAGAAAGGACGTTAGCTACTGCCAAATTCAATGGGGCAATTTAATCATTTACATGGAAATGGTTGTGCGGATTTTTTTTTTTTTGTTGCAAATTTCGGTGAATTTTCTACGTAGTACGAAGCAAATCCCTTAAAAATTCAAAGGAATCCGCACA